GGGTAGAGCAGCCGTCAGCCTGTGGATCTTGTCGTTTCCTAACCAGAATTCACCAGTCAGCTGACCAAAGCCAACTTTGTAGTCGGTCCAATTCCGATAGAAGTCTACCGAGCCATCCTGTCTTCTCTGAAACACGGTCCAGCCTCCTCCGTCAGTGTGCATGTCACAGTAAGCACTGAAGTGTCCTCTACCATCAGGATCAACAGAGTACACTCCACTCCGATTGTGGCCAGCGTTCAGAAGATAAAAACAGTCTCGACCTGACGAAATTTGTAAATAATACGGTAAACAAAAGACCCAGAATAAGTGTAGTGTTTTTTTTTTGCCTCTTCTCCAGAGAAATAAGAGGAAAGTAACAAAATTCTCTGCCTTTCTACAAGATGCAAAACCAAGGGCTTAGAGCCAAACAGCAACTGTAAGACGCTAACGTTAAACAAATTTTAGAGCGAAGTCAGCTTATCTTATAGTCCGTTGATAAGTTAAAAGTCCAGTAAGATATCGTGTAGAAAACACCATTACAAAATTTACTTACGAATCGGTATTTCACAGTTGTTCCCAGTGTAGTTTTGCTCACAAGCACAGCTGTAGTCGTATGTCTCGTAATTTGCGTGGCATGTTCCACCGTGCTGACAAGGAAAGTTTTCACAAGGATTCTGGAAAAAGTTAGAATATTCCGACAAATTGAGACACCACTGTGTTATAGAAATCTTTGTCGAAAGAGAAGGTAATTGCTGTCTTTTCAGTCGCCGGTTTCGTTCTGGCTTTCGTTGCAACGGTTTACGAGTTATATGAATTTATTGGCCTGGGCCCAGTTGTTCGAAGGCCGATTAGCGCTAACTCAGGGGTAAATTTTAATCCGGGTTTCTTTATTCCTTTGTTCAAAAACCTTTCAGAGACAATTTTCCCTACTCTCGTTAGAACATCCAGTGATCAAATTGCAAGCAAAAAGATTTGAACTGTATTTTCTTTTAAAGCTTTCAGACCGAAATCAACTTTCAGACTGACCCTGGGTTAACTAAACTCAGCTTTGAACAACCCAGGCCTGGTAGGAAGGCCAAATATTTTCCCATCCAGCCCGACCTGACTGGGTCAATAAGCACTTTATCATGTGAACGCCGCTCTTTCCTTGTCTTCCTTTTTTAGCTTACATCTCACGAGACCGTACGCGAAGCTTTTCTCTGCTCACGTCATTCTGTACCGCCTTTATGGGCTTATTTATGGCAAGCCATAATGGACAAAAGTGGTCGAGATATTTTTTTCTCGAGTCGAGAATCTTTTTTTCCGAGACGAGAATTTTTACCTCGAGTCGAGAATATTTTTGCCGAGTGGAGAA